TTCCATATCTTCCTTTTGCAGCGCCATAGTAAGCAGCGCTAGCAGCGTCGAAAGAAAGAAACATGCGAGATCGCAAGGGAAGGCAAACAAAGCGCGTATAACCAGTGCCATGCAGAGAACTGAGAAAGCCAAGCGTCGTGAGGAAAGAAGAGTGCATGAAGATGGATAAGCGACCGTAGTGATGTACTACGGGTGCCTACTATCCCTAAGGATCGATGCGTTGCAAAGAGAGTCTGAGAGTGTTTGCGCGTAGAAGAGCGGAGGAGCAGAGGGTTATACCGCATCCTCGGGATTGCCGATCAGCAGGTCCACCATAGCTGGGTCCACTTCGTAGTCCATGACTCCTGTTGCCGTAGTCCGCAAACACCGCAGTCCCTGAAACCGTCACCGAAAACTCCGCGCGATGCAACCGAAACCACGCAACACTGAAAAGGCTGTACGCCCGTCCTTGGCCTAATAGTGCGCATGCGCAGTGAAAAGAAGATGGGAGACGGCGGTTGTTCCCCAACCTAAAATAGTTCTACGATCGGCCTGGGTCCTTGCTTTCGCCAATTCTCGTATGCTGTCCCGTTGGTAAAACTTGGATTTGCTTCAACTCAACGACCAATTAAGAGGTTCTTTCTCGGGATTTGGATTTTCTATACATGTGTGGCTTGCCTCTTCATCTCCTTATCACATGGTGTATTTCTTCCCTCACCAATCCCCTATCCCTCTTACGATCCTCCCTTCGTTTTTTTTGTTTTTTTGTTTTTTTTTGTTTTTTTTTTCCTTTTTTTTTTTGTGTGTTTTTTTTCTCTCGCTTCATAATTTGTGGATGATTCTCTCATACGTCAGGGCAAGTGTGATGCTCCAAATTTTTTTCGTTCCTTTCGGATTACGTTTTTACGAAGAAAACGAAAGACCGTAGCTAATTGCATTAGTCCGATCTAAGGACAGGATGCACTTATCTACTGTCCCTCGCTACCTCTCTTACAGTAAACACAAATTTGCATCTATCGAATGGCCTCTACTCTCGGTAGTCAGATGCTTGTTGTTTTGTAAATCAATAGATACACACGCACAATTTTTTTAGAAAAATATTTTTTGATAATGACTCTTTCATACGTGCTTATTACTCCGGTATTCCTTTTTTATTTTCTTCTCAATTTTCCTTTTTGTCCTCTCTGACGGAGCAACTTACGAGCAACTGCAGCTTCAGGTTCTCACAACACCTCTAGCTACCGATGCTCGTCTCCGCGCTTCGATTTATGAAGCATCTCGTGAAGCCCCGTGTACCCCACTCGCCTTAGAAGCTTACACGTGGATAGTCCACAGCAGTGCCGCAATAGTCTTACCTAAGGGCAAGAAGCATTGATCTATCCTCCCTCATTACTTCTCACATATATGCATCCAACGAAAATACCTCTACTCTATCACCCTCTTCCTTTCGTACGCTCTCAGTTGTCGGATAGTGGTCAATGTTTCCTCGTTATCCAAGGATGGCCTTTTCGGACGATCGGACAAACGTAATGCTTTGGTTCTCCTTTTCGTCTTTCTGCTTTTTCGTTTTTCGTTTTCTTCGTTTTTTTTTATTTTTTTGTTTTTTGTTTCTTTTCTTTTCTTTTCTTTTCTCCGGGGAAGCAAGTTACGAACATTTGTAGCTTCGGGTTCTCACGATGCCTCCAGCTACCGATGCTCGCAGGATCCCTTGCGAACCCTCCTACCCCATCTGCTTTAGGAAAATTGTATACGGGGGTTGCGACAGAGCGCAACCAAGGTGCATTAATCCAATCCTAGGGCAATATGCATGTATCTACCATCCCTCGTTACCTTGCCTGTACACGTGCATACATCTATCGAACGCCCCCTACTTATATGCTCTTGACTGCTTAACCCCGCATTTCTACAGTAAAAGCAAGGCACACCTACTATTGCCCGATCCATCTACCTAAGTTACGGTAGCAATTCTCTGACAAATAGATAGACTCGTAAAACTCATAGAACGCAGATGGAGAGACAACGGATCTCCGCAGTTTTTTCCTAAGGATCTCACATACCTCACACATCCTTGTTTAATTTCTTTTCTACACACGTCGTATATGACTATTGTCTGAAGTTTTCTCCACTTTTTTAAGTTGTTCCCTCTCCTTCTGTCTATTGATGTTTTCCAAGAAGAATTTATCTCTTGGTCGGAAAAATGCTTGCACATTGCTGGTTGAGTCACCATGAGAATCCCATGAATTTTCCTTAAAAGCGGAGAAGAAAAGGCGTGGGTAAATCCTGTGTACACCTGACAAATTTTACGGGGATACGCCGAAATATTATTTCGGGGATAAACTGTGGTATGAATCTCGTACCACTCTACAACATGATGCTTCAAACACATGACGTAACGTTACACACAACCACGTGGGGGGATCCCCTCGTCAGCGCCGTTGATGGTGTGTCCCATCAACCGTATCCCTGTATGTATATCCAGGTGTAGGAAGCATGGGTGATTGCCTTAAGTATCCGGGCTCTTTTAGGATAGGGAGAGAGGGAAGGAAACCGGTGGATCTAGCTTATGCGCAGAAGCTTTGAGAAGAAGTGAAGATCCGTTATTCTACCAGTTCCCCCTTGCCCCCTCTTGCATGTTTTATAGTTGTGCTTTTTGTCTTTTGTTTTGCAGGTTCCTCCGAAGGAGTTCTTTCCTGGAGGCTGGTGGGATGAGATCACTGGCAAGCACGCCTGGCTCAAGGACCACGCATGGCCCAGCAAACCGGCGCAGGCACTGATCGCCACTATGAAAACTGAGATCCTAAAAACAATGAAAACGATGGTCGAGACAGAGCGTTTTCCCAACTTTTTTAGCATGATCGGGCTTAGTGATCTCGCGAATCTTGCGTCAGCTTGGGACGAGGGTAGAGATGCTTTCGATGCAAGGCTACTGGGGTTAGCCAGAGAGTTAGAGAAAAGGAAGGTAGAGTACGGACAAGAATGTGTCGAACTACCTACTAGGATTGTGAGGGTCGAGCAACTTTTTTTGAAAAACCTGGGGATTGGATCACTCACACCTCCAAGGACAGACGTCTGAGAAACCCCGGGAGGATTGCACTATTACTGATGCCATGGCTATGGACGACGATGAGATGGCGAAAATGAAAGCTGCCATCGCCTCCATCACCACCAGTAATAGTAGCAGTCAGCCTACAACTGCCTCCTCACAAGGAGGGCAGTATACTGCCTTTGCACCACTACCTTCTCCACGTTGGACGAAGCACACCGGTGCTGGATTCAATCATGCACTATGGAAGCTTGACACATTTAACTATCTCGCCCCGATTTCCTTGAATGCTCTCGTGTTTCTCGCCAATCTAACGAAAGAGGAGGTCGCCAGATGCAAAGCCAATGCGATGACCGGCGACCTGCCCTACTGCCCACCTGACAAGAAATCGTTCAAGCCTACCCTCCTGAAATTCCCTACCCTCTCTCTACTTGACCCTTCGAAATGCGAATTCACCGTCCCTGCCATGTGGCAGAAGAAAATCAGATCCGCTCCAGAGTTTGATCTCAAGGGGTTGAGGAAGTGCTGGAATGTCGGTCGGCCATACCTCAGATGTCAATGCGTCTCAGAAAGAAAGAAGGATTGCGGGAACGATCCCATCTGGGTAGATCACGCGATATGGTACCTTTTTGCCCACCCAGACATTTTGTTCCCGAACGTTGCCTCCGTGAAGGTAAAAACTTCCATGTTCATCCACTTCCTCCGGGTCTCTTGGAAGGAAGTTGTCCAAGCATGTGTTACCTTCATGTTTATTAGAGAAGCCATGACCGATATTATCGCAACACTCGAGCGCGATCCCTCCCTCACGGCCGAAACTGTGGTCGACAGATCCAAGTGGAAGTACAGTACTCCGCTAACCATCGGAAGGGTACTTCTACCCACTCGAGTGACCGGCAACCCCAGGGTAAGAATGAGGATCTCACCTAACGATCAAGCTAACAAGAGACAACGCGGCAACTCTCCACTTGTCATCTCACCCAGGCAGCGGGTACTCCCCTTCGCGCCTGGCCCAAGGTAACAAGCGCCTCGAACCATAGACCCGCCACCACAACCCCCGCTGTAGAACGTGGCAGCCTGATGGGATACAATTCAGAACCCCCCACCGGCACAACAGCTGCAGGGCATCCGGATAAGGGACGAAGCCACACGCTACAATGCCGAGGTTCCCATCAAGGGGTCGAACAGGTCACGTATTGACGCCAATACGCAAGCCAGCGGATGCAGAATACAACCTCCCTCACAGGGCAGTTCCGCGGTATCTACCAGCGAATCAGCCAGGGCCAGAGAAAAGAAGAAGGCAAATGCTTCCAAGAAAGGGAAAAGGGGGAACATCCAATCCCCGTGAGAATTAAGTTATGCATGCGCGCATATGCTTTTCTTTCCCTTCGTTTCTCCTTTTTTCTTTTTTCTTTTTTTTTTTTTTCTGTTTTTTTTTCTGTTTTCTTTCGTCTCTCTTTTAGTTTTTTCCTTTTTTTTTTCTTTTTCTTTTTATTGGATAATGATTCATTCACGAGCCTGTTGATTTCCTCGATGGAGTTATGTTCGGTACGCAGGACGACCCCTTTATGCAAGAAGAAGGAGACCATTAATTCGGCTTCCCTCCGGAAGACTCGCGTGGAGAAAGAAGAAGCAAGAAAGGCGGGAGTTCGTACATATCAGGTATACAAGCAGGCTCATGGAAGCCGTGCCTCTAAGGCAGTTTGTATTGGAGGGGCTGAGGCAAGTAATGGGGGAGGGGTCGGGAAGTTGGCCAGACGAGGTAGTTATTGGGTGAAAATACGATGAGCCACTTGGAGCAAAAATCTGCAAGCCTAGGAGGGTGTTCCAGAAATTCAAAATCACCGATTGGGAGGCCAGCTACGATCCAGAAAGCTGCACATGCGGGGCGGGAAGACACGCAACTTTTTTGAATCCTCCCGCCTTAAGGCTACTTCCTGCGGACGATTTTATGCATGTTATTACGACGAACACTGGGATTACGAACAATGGTCACCTGCAACTAATGATGAACGAAGGGCTCAATCATATACCAATGAGAACACTGGATGAGGATTCTGCCTTAGAAGAGATTGAGGAGGCACTCGGCTGCATTCTGACCACCAAGGTATGCGATGAACAACTCTCAATGGAGGAAGAGAAGTTGGTGAGCAACTTCGTGATAAGCAAAGCCAAATCCTGCATCAAGCAGTACCACGCTCAACACAGACACATCGCAAAGGAACCTATCAACAGCGTTCCGGTCAGGAAGGAGATCAATTGGATGACCGAGAGGTTTCTCGCATGCCCGACTTACAAGGTACCTCACACACCCACGTCAGTCTGCGTTAACTTCATCAGGAGGTTAGCTATGGAACGATTGTCCGGCCTGGATTTCATTCCGCTCCAACAGCAACCTGCAACGATCGGGAGCAAGCTTGCTAAAGAAGTCAGTGCCTTTGTACTCATCAAGCACGCGGAGGAGAACTTACCACTACCACACCTCATGGTCGTATACAAGGCTCACAAGGAGTCCTTCAGATGGATCACCAACACGACAGGGACAATCCTCTCACCGGCCGCCGACGTCTACACTTGCCTTCTGAAGTTCCTTGCGACAGACGTGCAGACACTCTGCGCAGAGAAGAGCGACGCGATCTTCGCCGAGCACGAGGTCAGACCCAACTATTGGTGGCCGATCGCATCCAATGGCGAGTTTGTCGTGGGTACAAGACCTTCAGCGCTTGAATGCAGTAACGATACGAGATGCGGGAGGTTTGCCGAATGCAGATGCGCTGTCTGAATCTTGTGTCGGCAGACCTATCATTTCTTTGATAGGCTTGTACTCAGGGTACGATCAATTCCCGGTGTATCCACCTGACAGGCCTATGACTGCGATGCATACACCAAGAGGACTAATCCATATGAACGTGGCACCGCAAGGTTGGACGAATGTTGTAGTGATGGTGCAGAGGCATATGGTCCACGTTATGCAGACAGTTAGTCCACATCTTGCGCAACCATACATTGACGATTTGGCCGTGAAAAGGCGGAAGAAGAAGGATGAGACAGAGGTTATGCCTGGGGTAAGGAAATTCGTCTGGGATCATATACAAGATATTTCTTGGATTTTTGATATTCTGAAAGATTACAACCTTACCGCAAGCGGACTGAAGTCAAGACACTGTATACGGGAGGCGACCATATTAGGCTTCGTATGTAACGAGAACGGTCGTCACCCTGACATCAAGAAGACTAACAGCATACTCGAATAACCGAATCTGTTAGTGAAATTCGTAGCTTCTTGGGGACATGTGGCTTTTGGCGAGTTTTCATCAAGAACTTCGCTGAGAAGACAGAGCAGTTGAGGAAGCTTGTGAGGAAGGATCAAGAATGGGAATGGGATGAGAAGCAGGAAGGAGTGGTAAGTGGTTTAAAAAGAGAATTCAGAGAAGGCGGTCTGGTGTTGGGAGTTTCTGACTTCGAAGCAACGCCAAAACATCATTTCATCGAGGAGACCGATGCAGGGCCTACAGCCTTGGGCGACATTCTGATCCACGCTGATGTAAATGGCGAGGAGAGGTCATTGAGATTCGAGAGTCGAACCTTGAATGGCACTGAGAGAAACTACTCACAGTTCAAGCGGGAGACACTTGCAGTTCTCCACTGTCTAACGGTGTTCCGCAACTACCTTTTCGGAAGGAGGTTTGTGCTGAGAGTGGATCCAACCGCATTGACCGACTCTTTGAAGAACTATGCACCATCAGACCCAACCATTGCCAGGTGGCTCGCGTATGTATGGATGTTTGACTTTGAGCTGGAACGCATACCTGGGAATTAAAATCGGGCTGACGGGCTTAGTCGAATCAATTGGGATAAGTCTGGCGAAGGAGCTAATGAGGATATACCTCTGGTAGATGCATTCCTCGATGAAGAGGAAGATGTGAAGCTCCACATCAACGCGCATGCCATTGGGGTCGAAGTCATTGTGCAAGGGCAGTCTGCTTTTCTTGCTCCTGCAGGGTACGTGAAGCGAACAGATATAGTCCTCAAGGACTTCGTGGAGGAGGATCCTTGGGGAGGGAAGGAGGTTGAGTGGATGGCAAAGCTTGCATTGACTGAGACCTTCCAGTTAGGAGAAGATCCATTGGCCATTGAAAGTGAAGCCTACTCACTCGACACGCACGAAAGTATGTGGCGGATGTCAGTTTCCTCGTCAACTCAATTGTCCAAGTGCACGAGGATGGAGAAGGGAGTCGAGACCTTGTGAGCGATATGAAAGAGGACGAGTTCGAGGAAGGAGAGATACCGGAGGTTTTTCACGCATATGAGTACGAAGGCGTATACTGTGAATTAGGTTTGCTTCTCTCATGTGAGATCAGAGAGAGAGAAGCAACTAAGAAGGTACTCGAAATGCAACCTCGCTTTTTAGTCCGGGATGGACGAGGTTGGCAACCCGAGGAGGGTGATCTGCGACCGAAATTGTCAGATAGACGTTATAGCTGCACTTCATGATGGGCTCGCAGGTTGTCACAGAGCATTTGCCTTGACATATGCGAAGGCGCGTGAGCTTTACTATTGGGAAGGAATGAGTGAGATGATTCGCAAGTACTGCGAGTCGTGCATTTCATGTCAAATAAGGGCGTCGACTATGTATAAGGAATCGTTGCACTCGCGGATTGTGCGAGATGCAGGAGCAGTGGTCCATCTGGACCTACTGGCAATGCCTCAAGGAGTGGGCGGCTACAATTACACCTTCGACACGCGGAACAATCTTACGGGGTTTGTTGATGGGCGAGCCATTCGCAGTAAGACGGGCGAGTGTGAACCTTATTGCAAGAGTATGGCGTACAAACCAGCTACACGACCAGGGCACATCCGCAGGCGAATGCTCCAGTTGAGAGAGGGCATACCACCATCACGAATCTACTGGCGAAATGGACGAACGACAGGGAGAATCAGTAGCCTAAGCATCTGCGCACACCATTCTTCGTCGAAAATATTACGATTAAGAGATCCACGAAGTACGCGTCAGCAACACTATGGTATGGAAGGCATGTCACACTCCCGATAGAGAGCTTTCTGAAGACGTGGAGGAGGCAGGATATGAAAAGCACCTTGTCCTTCGAGGAATTGCTGGATTTGCGGGCCAGACAAGTTGGCATCGCAGAAGAGAGGATCTAGGAAGCTGTAGATCCAGTAATGGACAGTCGGCTAGGGGACAAGAAGAGGTGGGATCTCCTCCCACGAGTCAGGAAGGAGCCACTGGAAGTTGGAGATGTGGTGCTATTGTACGACTCGTCGCTAGAAAAGTAGTGGTCGCGCAAGTTGGACAAGCGGTGGCTAGGCCCGTATCGCATTAGACGGTGTGGGCAGCATGGAGCTTATGAAATTGAGGAGCTTAACGGCACGCCGTGGAGAGATAAGGTCTCAAGTTCGAAACTGAAAAAGTTCAAAGCACGAGACTAAGGTGAGAGCGACGGAAAAACATCGCGAGTAGAAATAGTATTTGAATCCTCGTCTTATTTGGTGGTACTTTGCATTAGTGATAGGATAGGATTATGTGTTAGTATTTAGATAGGTCTTAGTATGAGTTTAAGTTCGTCAGTCAGGTCAGTCGTCTGAGGGTATGAGAGATCTGCTTGGGTCAGTAAGTATAGGCATTCCTCATTCTTCTCCTGTGCTTACTTCTGTTTCCTCTATTGTCCATCCTTCTTATTTGTGCAGGGTTGGCTTTTCGAAGTTGGTCATTATTTGGAGGGGCGGGAGGATGGCGGGACAGGAGGATGAGCGACTAGCCACGTCTTTGATACTGGACCCATTCCGTTACGGGGGTGGACATGTATTTCCATTTTTGGATGGGTTAGTTAGGCAGGTTTGGATCCTTCAGTTAGATTTTGCTCAGATGACTAAGAGGGTCTGGGGTACTGGCAGCTATGAGGAGCGTGTGGCTCAGATCGTGAGAGAGTCGTTGGATTGGAGACAGTTCGCCAGGCGGATGCTGAGATTGCGGCCTCAGCCCATTGATCGACAGGGTAGGCCCATGCGGTTTGATGGGGCTAATCTGGATGAGTTCCATGAAGCTTTCATCATTTTTGGGGATGGACAGAGATGGACCGAGGCGCAGAGGGTTAGGCAGGTACGACACTTGGTTGTCCCGGATCTTAGACATGAGGTGAGTACCATGTCACACACAGCGCAGACTTGGGCGGAGCTTATAGCGACGCTTAGAGAGGATTTCACCGTTGACAGACGACGCGGGCTGCGCAGAGAGGTTGGGTATTACATCCCGGAGCTCAGGATACGCCCACGAGCACAGCTAGAGAGGGATGAGGGTGATGAGGGGCGATCGCGAGAGAGGCGGAGAGAGAGTGGGCAGCCAGACATCCCACGCAGACCTAGGACAGGCAGGCGTCGAGGACGTCAGGATAGACGGGATGGCCTAGAGGAGAGGGATCACGTGTTGACGGTTGATATTGGGAGGAACCTCTCGACAGATGATGTGGGGGAGGAGACCTTGTCAGTAGGGTCTCAGAGACAGAGTGTCTTATCTACTCCAGAGATTGGGACAGTGCCAGTGCCAGAGACATGTCCGGCTGAGATAGGGGTTAGAGACCGTGGTGCGCCTGAGACAGATCAGACTACTCCACCTACACCCATACGGGATGGGGAAGAGGCTTCCCTACTGCTTGTGTTGATGATTGTTTCGGCCCGGCCTACAGAGACAGATACCATGGAGGGAGTGGTTCCCGATACTGCATCGGAGAGGCCTTATCGATGGAGAGACACACGGGACATGGCATTAGACCTCCCACAAAGGGAGCTATCGCTTATGATAGGGCCTACCACTATAGGACCGATGCAGGAGCACGAGGAGCCTCAGCCTGAGTGGCCGCGAGAGACGACGCTGATGCATGATGAGCTAGGGCATGAGGGGCAGAGAGTCCAGTCTTAGTCAGAGCCGGTAGTGGAGGATGGTGAGAGAGGTGCGATGGGACCCTCATCATTGGACGGATCGCCGTTACTGAGAGAGAGTCGATTGGCTGAGCAGCCAACTGAGCCTGAGGGTTCATTGACTGCCCAGCTATATGACATGGAGCCTCCTAGGATGCAGATGGGACAGGAGGTATCCCAACCCTTGCCCATGGACATGGAGACAGAGCGAGCTGAGACCGAGGTTTTGTGACTAGACAGAGAGGGTCTCACGGAGGACATGCGGACCCAGCGAGTGGAGACGTCACCACTAGACTTTGGGGATACTCCTCGACGAGACGGTGATAGGAGTGAGGCCAGCAGGAGGGGCCACGTTGAGGCGGGCCCGGAGCATACCCAGGACGCATCTCCGACTCATGAGGAGGGGAGTCTGCCGGAGTCTCGGGGACCGATAGATCACGAGCCTGTCATGAGGGATGCATGGCTAGCCGAGGAGATGGGACAGATGCCATCATTACATTTTTCAGGCTGGCTTTTGAGCGACTGGGCCAGGCCGCGAGACCGCACTTGTCGATTGATCAGACCACTGGTGGGCTCAGGGTACTGTATGACGACTTAACCTTGCGGAGGACCTATATTGGTAGTGGCCTCGCTGCAGCTCGACAGACGATAGAGCAGGTTCGGGATTATATGAGGAGAGTTGCCATTCGATCCTTTGAGTTGAGTCGTGACAGACAAACGGAGCACGATACATACTGAGAGGTGGTGAGTGATCTCTGTACGTTTGTTGAGGGAAGAGAGGTCCAGACGCTAGAGGAGGCTGAGGCGGTGCTCAAGATACAGGAGAGAGAGGCGAGTGATTGGCGAGCCCAGGTTCAGAGGGTGCTCAGGGAGTATGAGCCACCTGCTGACGCGACGGACAGGGATAGGCTACGGCGCAGGGTTGTCCTTGAGACTGTGCGATCATCTCAGTTGGAGAGCCAGGTATCGACTCTTGTCAGGTTACGGCAAGAGACCGAGGAGCAGACACAGAGGCTCTTCTATGAGGATGCTGCTACAGCCGGATGGCAGGAGGAGGTTAGGATGAGGAGACGGACAGGAGAGGAGCCCATGCTTGAGGGCGAGCGTACACAGGCAGAGGAGGGGCCCTAGGCGAGGCTATTATCTAACGCCTCAGTGCGAGAGTTGTCAGGCATGATGGAGCATGTCAAGAGAATCACGCAGACCGAGGTTACGCGAGGAGAGGTGCTTCAGGATGTGGTACAGAGGATAGGTTCTCTGGAGCAGGAGAACAGAGGACTGAGGGACATGGTACGTAATCTTGTCACCAGCGCCGAGCAGGCGAGACAGTCCACCTCAAGGCTCGAGCAGAGGATTACTGACCTAGAGGAGGGTCAGAGGCGTCAGGCCACGACAGATCTGGTCGACGAGAGGAGGACTGAGAGGCAGCAAACTTCTATCGGACAGGCACACGTCTCTCATGAGGTAGAGCCAAGGGGAGTGAGATTGGACATCCCTCATCGAGACTCACAGACAAAGGAGTCACTCGGGGGTATAGGGATGACATGTGAAGAGGCTGCAGTCGTCGACAAGCTCATGCTTGAGCCAGACGAGATCGAGAGGAGGAGAGAGGCAGAGGCACGTGGTTTGGACCGGGTCCCTCCCTCAGAGTTGGCTGTTCAGGGGGATGTATGGCGAGAGATGGGTGGTAGGCACGACGAGCGAGAGAGGATTTCAGAGCCACGAGATGTCATGCCACAGCAGGACACGAGCGAATCAGCGACATTACTGCCCATGACTCTTCCTTTTACACCGGCTCCAGCTTTCGGGGCGATGGACGAAATAGTGCACCTCCTTTCGTCTGGGTCTGAGAGGTGTGACGAGGAGGCGACGACTGAGAGGGTCTCGAGGATGTTGAGCCCTTATACGGTGGATAGAGCCGTACAGGATGTGACGATCCGACTCGAGAGGGCACGGCCTCAGATCCTACCCAAGCCGAAGAAGGCGAAGGTAGAGGACAACAGCGCTGGTGAATTATGCTCATGGTGTGGCAGAGGGGTGCACGACAGGGTGGGTTGTCCTGCTTTCCAGGATGACCTTAATAGGCGAGTCGTGCAGTTCGACGGACAGGGGCGAGTCAGAGATATGCATGGCGCTCTTCTTCCGAGGAGACGTCACGATGCTAGGAGAGCTTTGTATGACAGACTAGGCCTAGAGTTGAGAGAGGATGAGTGATAGGTTACATGTCCATGAGACGCACGAGAAGCCAGGCTATGAAGAAAGAGAGATAGACGAGGATGAGGGGGCTATTATGGGGGGATAGATTGTTGGACTCATTCGATATTGTTATCTTCTACTTTGAGGGCTCCGAGACATGAACTTGTATTACCTTATGACTTGTATATTGAGAGTTTTTGACTTCGGATTTCAGGATATTGAGAGTTTTTGATTTCGGATTTCAGGATACGAACCATGTATTATATGTAGTTGGTGACTAAATTTAGCTCGTACTTCAGTAGACTGTACATACATGATAGGCTACTAGTTTTAGTAGGTTGGATGAGCAGGGGTTTTAGAGATTGCACTGGGCATGAGAGTCTGGTTTTGTGTGAGCTTGAGTGAGTTTTGTGTGAGCTTGAGTGAGTTTTGTTTGAGCTTTGTGTGAGATTGGTGTGTGTTTGGTGTGAGTATGTGTCTGATTTGAGTACGACTTTTAGGTAGGACCTTGAGTTAGTAAGTATCTTTGTGAGTTACATTGTTTCGTTCAGGGACATTGTTCCAATTGTCGGATAAAGATACCCACTTGAAACGTTTCATTCTTCATGATTGATTTTGAGATTCGGAGTATATTGCGCAGATATATCCTACGGGACACAATACTGTGCGGGGTTGTCCTCCTTTTTTTTTTTTTTTTTTTTTTTGAGTATGCCCTATTGTTGTTTTTTTTATCCAGGCATATGAGTCTCGTGTGGAAAACAGGAAGCCATGAGATATTCTCACAGTGTGGACTTGTGCTCCCTCCCCTTGCATCTGTGATGTTTGTACCTGTTTATTGGTTGTGAGTACGTTGTTTGATTGTTGAACAAATGGTTTTTGACCTTGATTGCATTTGAATTAGTGTGTGAGAGTTAGTGAAAAATTGTTCGACAAAAATGCATGGAAAAAAGTTGAATCGGAAAAGCGGCTCAATTGTTTGATGGGAAGGGGACCCGTTTTGAGGAGCCACCTGTTTATATATGTGAAAATAAAAACAAAACTTTAGGATTATAACTCGTTCCGTGAAGGATAAATAAAGCTTTGATTTTTGCAAAAAATTGTCATTGGATAACCAAGCTTGAGAAGAGATGTTCATATAATGAGGGGTTTCTTCGAAAGAGAAACTTGTTTGTGAGGCTCTAGGGCCGGTGGTCGCATCTGCCATGATCAAGCAGAACGACTACAAGCATTGAAAGCTGGCTCAAGAGTATTTTAGGAGGCCTAAGCCGGGGGCAAAATCGACATCGTTGGGGCAACCCCCAACGTGGGCTGCTGTCCCGCCTAACCAGGACAACGGACCCCTAGCTTAGCCTGAACTTAGAGACGGCGGAGTGACCTGCACCATCATCCATGATATATAATTATATAAACGGGCTATTATGGTTACTATTATTAATTATTACTTACTATTATTAATATTATTTTTATTATTACTATCCTTATTATTATTATTACAATCATCATATGGGAGGGTTAAATATTTAAGCCAAGTATCGGGTCACTCCAAAGAATCTAATTAAGGCGACGGCTAGGGGGTACTTAGGTCCAAAAGTCAGAGAGTCGCCTTAGCATTGAGCAAGCAATGTAGGCAACATCGTGGCTTAATAGCGCAATGAACCGTAGTTTGGCCCGATCATCCAAACTATGGTGGGTTGAGGTCAGGACTATAACCCACCTATGACTAGACGCAGGGTCGGGCTAAGTTTTTGGTTTAATTGCATGGAGTGAGCTACGTGCAGCACCATGTCTGTCACAAGTTGAGCTGCTCAAGGGGGTGTGCTTTTACATGGTAAGGCACCCAGAGGAGTATGCTACCCTTTTCGATTACAGAGTGAGCCACCAAAAAGAAGTATGTTTTGGTTTTGCTAAGCTACTCGGAAGGGGTGGGCTACCTACGCTTGTTGTGTGCTGCAGTTTGTCCCACTCAGGGCAGTGGTCCTGCCTAAAACCCACGGCCGAAGATGACGGTTACTTGATAGCCCAATTCAGATGGCACTCAACGAAAGTCGGAAGGCGTCTAGGACAAACGGAAGGGGCTGGTATTTGAACACTGAAGCTAACCTAGGGCGGTAGTATAACGAAAGTATCCCTGTGAGTCAGACAGGAGGCTCAGGTTGAACTCCTGCTCGCCATGGGGATGCCGCAGAACTAGAATAAACCCCAAGCTGAGTCCTTCCGATTATACGGATGTGGTTATCCATCTGCTCAGTCTATGCATTCACCTGTGATTTCGTCATACTTTCTAGTCCATACCCGAAGCGACGGGGACGTCGCTTAATGGGGTCTGGGAGGACAGTCGTAGCAAACACCCTTACAAGGGTATTTGCCGTTTTTTTTTAAAAAAGGTCGCACTGGGTGCATCCTTGAACAACGTAATGCGCTGATAGGGCCAATCCCGTCAAGACGCTCGCCTCGACAATCTCGCTCTTGGCAAGTCTCCGAGTCAAATACGATTGAATTAGAGAGTGTGTGGGGCACGCATTATTGCATTGCATTGTGAGATGGTTGTTTAGACAACGGCGACACCAGGCCGGCGGAAGGCGTCAAGCCATAGGGTCCGGTTACGTTTTCTATAGTTCTCAGTTTGATTATATTTTTCTTTTGTTTTATAAAGACTAGCTTTATTCCACGAACCGGCTCAACCTCTAGTGGGATGCGATGCAAAGGAGATAAAGGCCCTACTTTGTGCACGTGCAGGAAGATCATTGTGTTTGACGACGCATGGAAAGGCGCGGTGTTGGCAAATCTAGTATGGGGGGGAAAGTCAAAAGTTTGATGAAAAATATGTCGGGCGCTCGACGACCAAGATACCAAGTAGCTACGATCCTAGGCGCGGACGACGTCTCGGTGTCGGCGCGAATACCCTTACAAGGGTATCCGCCCTGTTTTTTGCAAGTGACAGAGGGGCCGGTGGTTCGGGCCTTGTGAATGTTTAGTTGGTTACCTGCGTACGGGCCAGAGTTGTCTAAATAAATGGAGTGTGTGGGCTCGCAACTTTAAGGCGCGCATGTGATTTTACCATTTTGATCGTACTGCTGGCATAGGTATCCGGCTTGACTTTGTATCCTTGAGTAGGTCAAGGGTTAGTAGGCTGACCCTCGTTTGCTGTACCTGACCGGCGGTAGGTCTGGCGTGTGGGGTAGTACGTAGGGTGGCGCAAATACGTTGCGGCCGCATGCTTGTAGTAGGAGTAAGTGAGGCTCCAGGCATGCCCGAGTATTAAGCACTGGACCACACCTCCTTATATGGGATTA